TATCTTTTCGCAGCCTCCGCTCATTTCATTGAAACGCAACAAAAACATAGGCAATTTTTTGGTCAGAAGCTCTTTTCAGACTAATGACCAACCAGGCACATTTAAATGCGTTCGTGCACGATGCAATAACGTGTCCTTTCATTCACAACACTGAGAAAATATCGGGACCCAAACGATCCATTAAGATCACCGATCACTTCACGTGCACCTCCACGAATGTAATCTATTGCATAACTTGCGCTTATTGCAAAAAGATTTACATCGGCGAAACAGGCAGAAGACTAGGTGACCGATTACGAGAACACCTTCGCGACGTGGAGAGGAATGACAAGGACACATCGAAACCAGTCGCTAGACATTTTAATTTACCCAATCATTCTAAGCCTCATATGGTAATCTGCGGTCTTTCCTCACACTTAGGTAGCACGGAAAGCCGCAAAACTCTTGAACAAAGGCTCATCTTTCAAACCAGCAGTCTAAATCCCACAGGTATCAACGAACGCTTTTCATTCCACTAGTTTATTCGTGTTTTTCTCGTTGCCATGTTCTCACCAATCACGTAGCTCCATTTTCTGCCTTTAAAAGCACACACAACCCACAATTCCTCTATTCGCTCCGACGAAGGGCTAACGCTCGAAACGTCAGCTTTTATAACCGCAACGGTGGCAAATTTGCCATTTCAACTTTGATGATATATTCAAACAGGGAGTGTTTGGATATCTGCTTGCGAAGACCAAAGTGTGCTTCATTTAACGTGCTCAGAAAGACCAGCCACCTAAAATGCATTGCCTAAAATCACTGACATCCCGAACATTCGGCATTTAAAACCGGCATATCAGAGCAAAGGGCTCTTTTACAACGTCAGCTGACATGAACTACAGCAGGTTAGCTTGCCACAAATCAAGTATTGATAATGTCAATGGAAGCGTGGCAAAGTTAATGTTTCCTTGGTTAGTTAAAATTTCTCAATTGATGATTTTTTTTTTCTTGCCATTTTGCAACAATGATACTGGCTTTACAAAGGTTTTGAGTAATTAAAAAGAAATCGAACTAGAAAAGTAATAGTGCTAATGAGTGATTTTCAATTACAACACGAAAGATGGAAGGGAATCGAAGATGTAATTTATTTTTGTCATTAGTTTGGGACGGAGATGTGCATACGTAAGTCAACCATACAGAATCAAACACACCTTGAGACCTTTGCATTGGGGCGGAAGTCCTGTTTAGAGTTGGTTTTCTCTTGCGAGACCCACGCTTGTCACAAAATGATAAACGACTTCAATTAAAGTATACCTGGAAGTCTGCTGCAAACAGAGAGATCCGTAAGTATGCACAATTATCGCTGTGTCTTCGCATGCGCGAGCAAACAATCTGTAAGTAAAATAAGGGCACTGAAATTCACTTTCACTCTTTGAAGAAAACTCCACGATGTACGTGCGTTTTAATGACAGCGATACCACAGTCTTATAGGACGAAATGAGGAGCGGGTGGGCTCCTGACGAAATACAGTAATATAAATATAAATACAAGTAATATAAATGAGAGACTAAACATAACAAAAGGCACCGAACTTAAGATAACAAGCGTACACTGTCCTAATCGAGTTCAACGAACGAGTCAGACAGCATAACATAAAGATGGCAGAACCAAACTTGTCCCCCGTCCTGTTGGGGCCTAGAAAGTCCATTGCTTTAAAAGTCAAGCCTGAAAAGATGGGATAAAAACCAAAGTTGGGATCTTTTCGTGCGGCTATCTGATTTTTTTGCTTCGCCTTCCGTCCGTAATTTTTCCCTGTTCTACAATGTAATACGGTGGTAGCATATTTCTCGGCCTACTAGTCACTAGTCCCTTATAACTAACTTTTCATTGTAAGAGCCTAATTCAGTACTGCGTGTTATAACATGTGCCCCGTACTTTATAGGAAAGAAGAAAAGGGGATTTAAATGAATGCCATCTTAACTTAAGTGCCATTCGCAAAGAAGCTTTGCACCTTTGTCGCAAAGGAAAACGATAAACGCTGCAGCGCTTAATCGCCAAGTTTAAACGGTAATTATGAACGTGTGTGCTGCAGTTAATAACTTAACTCAAAACTGGTCACCGGTAAGTCATTTATTCTCTTACAGTCAAACTAAGTGAAGCGTACCCTTCAGGATTACATTAATGATTTGATTATTTGATTATTTGAATATTGAACCCGCGAATCGTTTCAGGAGCTCAATAACGAAATGAATATTTGAACATGGAACCCGCTAACCGTTTCAAGAATGCAATAATGGATTGATTATTTGAATATTGAACCCGATAGCCGTATTCGTTTTGAAAAGGCGCGGATCATTGTTCAAATCAGAAGTCCATTTCTGATTGGATTATGCGAACACGTGATGATGGATCGGAACTATTTCAACATC